AGGATATGGAGAAACAGCAACCTTCACACACTGCTGGGGGGAATGAAATATGACACAATGTCTATGAAACAGTTTGGAGGTTGCTCAAAAAGATAAAAATGTGATTACTATTACCACTTGACTCAGCAATTCTACTCCTAGGTATAACCCAAAGGAATTAAAAATAGGGATCCTGTTAACAGACACATGTACGCCAATGTTCACCAAAGCATTATTCACAGTAGCCAAGAAGTGGAAACAACCCAACTGCCCATCAACAAATAAATGGGTAAACGAAATGCCCAGTATCCCTACAATGGAATGTCATTCAGTCATAAAAGTAACAGTGGTTTCATATATGCTACAACGTAGAAGAATGTGAAAAAAACATGCTGAAAGAAAACAGATGGGAAAGGGAAAATATTAAACATTTATAGTAAGCAAATTACATTTTTTTAAGAGTAGGCAAATTAATAAGAGACAGAAAATAAATCAGGAGTTACCAGGGGCAAGTGAGGAGAAATGGAAACGTCATCCCCAAATTAGGTACTGGTGATTGTTGCACAACAAAAGAAATTCATGCCTGAATGAATGAAATTGTACACTAAAAAATCATGGAGCTGGCAACATTTGTTATATGTTATATAGAAAATTTAACAGCAAAAGCCATTAAATCATATACTTTAAATGTATATATATATATGGCACGTGAGTTATAGCTCAATAAAGCTAATTTAAAAAGAACTCAGTGGACTTGGGGGTACAATGATAATTAGAGATCATTTAGTTCAATGAGTCTAGCTTAAGAATAAAGCCTATTACAGTACTAGCTCAGCCGTAGTTAGTTATGAAGAGCATTAGCAGTGATCTAGTTTGACTTCTCTAGCTTTGATACATGTTACATACTATGATAAAATACCACCGAATAATGACTCTTTAAAATTAGGGGAGAAGAACAAATGACACATACATTTAGTAGCTGACACACAACCTGTCAAAGTACTTTAGCCTGAGCAATTACCCAACAAGTGTAAGACAATGCCTGTTATGGAACTGTACACAAGAGGCCATTAATCTGTAATGTTAACCACAAATCACCTTTGTTTGCTAAAATACAAGTTCAGCTAGGCAAAATTGGGGATTTGGGGGTCTTCATGGTAGGTAGGAAAAACCAGACAGTTTATTTCTGCCTTTGCTCAGGGTCTTTACCCTTAGACATGCCCTGATTTCTATTTCCTGTGTCACCCTTAAAATCTATACCTATCAAATTTTAATTAAACTAAGCTAACTCTTCAATGCCACTATATTTGATTTACATTCCAAAATTTCAAGTATTAAATGTGAAGGGTGACAAACAGGCCAGATACTTTCCTGTCAGGTTAAAGAATGGATGGGGTTTCTAATTATGTGGATTAATGGAGCCACAGATAATCTGAAGGGATGTCTGGGTTTAGGTCATTTTTAGCTTAACTGGGGAGTTTTTGCTTTAAAAACAAAACATATCCTATTTAGACAAACTGAGTAACCACCTGATTAAAGTTCAGTGTTATCATTTAATTTAACCTGAGCATGTTTTCCCCCAAAATTATCAAACTGACTAAAATGAATTTAAAAATTAGTCATTTTGCAAAAAGACTAACACTACTAATAACTGACAAGACAATAACCAAGTTTAAACAACATGCTGAGAAGCTCCAGACATGGAGAAGTCCCTCTAACACCAAACTGTGATATACAGAAGGCCCTGCTAGATTGAGGTTTAAGTTTCTCAACAATAGAATATAACAAAACATTACGTCATGGAATTTTCCCCCAAAGGAATGTGAAGAAAAGCTTTTAGGAGAGCCTGGATAAATGACACAAGAGAAATGTGTAACAGTTGTGAGCACAGTTATGTTTTTAATTCACCAATTATAAAAGATGACTGAAAAGAGAATATGGCAGGGTTCATGACTAAGTCCGTTACCCAGAAGGGGTCTGTTTTCTGTGTAGAGACAAGCAACCCTGCTCCACTGTCACATACCAAACTTTATTGTGGCCATTTGTCCTAGACAATGTGGATTAAATAGTCAGTCACTGCACCAGAAAAAAATGCAGCAACATTCCATGGCCAACCAACAGCAAGATGTTATGTAAAATTACAGGACTAAGATCCAACAGACATATTTCCAGCCATAATTCTAAATTTACATCTCTCCAACTCAGCCATCCATATTACCAAGGTCTCAGTCTCCCAAACAACAATAAGACACAAAGACCTCTAGTACTTTACATGTAAAAGTTTACAATATGCAGAAAGATCAACCAAGAGCTCAGCAAATGTCCTGCACTCACAAGTCAGCCTCTGAGCAGAACACGTCTGGTTCAATATTCCACAGGAAATTTACGAGTTACCCTGAGGTTCAAAGAATGAACAAAACTCGACCTTTTTCTCTTTAGAGTTCTTCCCAAGTTACTAATACATGAATGGCAAACATTATTAACGATTAGTGATTAAGGGAGAGGATGGTGCTAAGGGGAGGCTCATTGCCAGTGAAAAGAGCTGAACAGAAGAACCTAAAACCAGGCCTTTGGACATGGAAGCATAAAGATACTTGGCCAATTGGCTCAGAAAAGGGCATGGTTCATTCTCTGTACTAGTAATGATAACTTTTAGGTACCAAGAAAATCTGAAATGTCAACTATACTCTGCTTAGCAAGGCAAGGAAACATATATTGTGACATTGACCACTTAAACATTTTAAAATAAGCTTTTTTTTTTTTTTGCATAGAAGTAACGGGGTGTAGGCCAGAGGTTCAGGATGTGAGAGGATTCACCAGAGACAGAGTGGGGAGCAGAATAGGCGGATCTACTGGAATACACTGCTGGCAGGGAGTGGTGGTTGAGGCAGGAGAGGTCTGCTGTGCCATGTGGGTTAGCTCCCTGGACGGGGATCGAATATTGGCCATAGTGGTGATAGTGTTGAGACTTAACCCCAAGACTACCAGAGAAGCCCTAAAATAAATTTATCTGCTTAAAAAAAACCTCAATGCCGAATATAAGGGAATGCTGCCTTTGTTAGAAAGGTCATTATAAAATTCTTCTGTTCTTCACAGTGTATCAGTAACATCTTTCTACACAGAGCAGAGATAAAATACAATGGAGGGTATTCTGCGAATAAGCAAACAACTAAGGTCACTTCCTTTATAAGACTAAATAAAAAATCCTGGTGAAAATTTCATTTAACTAACTTTGAAGGCTTCAGGATAATTCTGCTTTTAGAAAGATGCCACCTAGTTAAACTGTCAGAAAACAATGCTTAAATAGAAATCATGGCTTTATTTTTAAACTTAAAATCTGGCTAAATTGAGAAAATTCTATCTTCTGTGTAATGCAAAAATTATAATAAAACCCCATTATACACTAATATTCAGTGAGTATTACTAGTGCTCAATAAATAAATGGTTTACATTTTGTTCTAAGAGGAATAGAGTGAGTAATCGGTTCTGATCTGGTCATTTATCCAAGTCTATAAAAATTCAGAGCTCTTGGGCCTCCCCGGTGGCGCAGCGGTTGAGCGCTGGGTTGCGAAGCTGCCCGCAGCCACTGCAGCGCCGGTTCGATCCCCGGCTGCTCCCCGGCCACCGGAGGAGGGTCCCATATGGCGCGCAGACCTCTCCTGCCGCCCGCTGCTCCCCTCAGCAGTGTACATCGGTCCTTCTGCCTGCTCTGCTCCCCGCTCTGGCTCTGGTGAATTCTCTCACCCTCCCGAGCTTCTGACTGTACCCAGTGCATGTATAAACAAAACAAACAAACAAAATAAATAAATAAATAAAACATGAAAAAAAAAAAATTCAGAGCTCTTTGGATCTTCTGGATACCTAAAATGTTCACGTTTTCATGCAAAAACCAACATTAACAAGCAAACCAATTTCTGAGAGCATATATACTTTTCCCCAAAGCCTAAAAACTTTTCAAGATTATGTCACAATGACACCATTATCCCAAGTGAACAGGCCCATATAAAGGCTTTCCCGAGGGCCTGCCCATCATCAGGCTATAGGGTCTCTCTCTCCTCCCCTCAGCATGTCTACAAAAGCATCCAGACACTCAGAATTGCAGTTGGCAGGGGCACCTGTGGGTTTCCACAGCAACACAAGTTCGCTGAAGCAACACAAAGACAGTCTGTAGTCAGTCTTGACTGGACTACAATCCAGTGAACTGGAAAGGCCACTTGCCTTTCCAGAAGCACCTACATACTTGTGGCTGCTTTAATCAATGCTCATTCACAGCCTCTTGAGCCAACTGGATGGAGCAGGATGGAACCAGACCCAAGACAACCCAGTTAAAGATCAGTCCAGTCCTCAGCTCTAGAACTAAATTGCTTCCTTCTACCCCTCTCAGCTCGATTCCCTTACATTGTTTTGTTTTTCAAAAATACCCGGGGTGGGGGCGGGGAGTGGGGGGTAGATAAAGCAGGTAAAAATTTCAAAACATACGGCAGACATGATGCCTATGAATGAAATACAGGTATCTCTCCTCAATTATACCTGTAATTACGGCTCAGTTAGTCATTTATTATGTCACAATGCAGAATGTCTTTTGAGAAAGTCGTATGTGAGTTTTTGATTAATCAGAATAAAGACTATGACCTATTTAAAAAAAAAAAAAAGCCACACACCTAATAACCTCATAAGAAAATCCAAGATTCTCATCTATTCTTGGCTTAGACTTAGTCACCAAGTGTATAAATGGTCAAATGAACAGGACAGTACCATGAAATGTGACTAGGTTGAATTAGAATGAGGGCTACACCATCAGGTAACTTCAGCATTAGAATAAAGCTAGAGTTGAGTATTATTTAACACTTTGCATATCTGACCACAGTGCTAGGAAACATCTCTTTAGAGGGTTCATTGAATTGATGGCCCCTCCCCTCTTACATTGGGCAATGGTAGTCCATTTGAGTCCCCATCCAAGGAAGTTCTATACTCCCACCACCTCACAAGGAAACCCCCAAAGATCCATCACCAGTACTCACATTCAAAGCATTCTTTGCAGCTTCTGCTTCTGAGCGACTGTCAAAACTGACAAAACCTACGGGCTGAGGAAAGAAAAAGAAATATGAAGGGGGAAAAAAAAATCAGGGATGTCATTTTTCTGGGTCAAAGGTGATGTCAAACTGAACAGCTAAGATAAAGAATTGACCACAGGCAATGGGTAGAAATAAGAAAGCCAGTCCAGAAGAATCATGACTCAGTGTCTTAGCCAAATTTCTAACATGAATCAAAGGGACTGTGAAGGTGGCTCTTCAAGGGCACAGCTGAGGATTAAAAGTATCATTAAAAAAAAAAAATCTAGCAGGGGTTGGAAGGTGAGCAGTAGTGGACAAAGGAGTAGAGAAAAATTTGGATCAAGAGGCTCTACTTTCCTAAATTAAATTCACTGTACCTCAGTTTCTTCATCTTTTAAAATGGAAAGAGAACCGAATCACCTTTCGGTACACTGTAAGTGCAAGGAATACAATGACACAGTGATAACATCCCTGCAGTCTTGCTAAGATCAAAATTTTACAACAAACATTTCCATCTCAAATCCCAAGGGATGTCTTTAAAAAGTCCTGTGTTTAATCAAGCATGTAAACCACATTGTCCCAATAAACGGAGAGGTAATAATCCCTTTGGACTACCTTTCAATCCAGAAGAGTGTTAGCAACATAGCCTATTCCTCATGAAACAAAGAAAACCTCCTTGAGAAAGGAAAAGTAGCTGGCAGAGGAGTATGCTCAGTGTTCAACATTAAAATAACAACAAAAACATTGTTAAAAATTTCCAAGAAGCTTGCAGGAAAGATCAGGGTCACTGTATGCCACTGTCCATTCTAGGTTTGGGAGTAAGAGGTCTGAGAGGCAGACCCCTTCATCATTAAATATTCATACTGACTGTGAAAGCTTGCCTATTTAACTTTATACTTAATAATTAAAAAAAAAAAAAAAACAGCAAGAACCTGGACTAAAAGTCAATTTGGATAATAATCATTTCTTTTAAATATACAAATGAATCCCACATAAATATGCTGAAGGAATTACATTTGCCTGCTTAGAGGTAGTACCTGACATCCCGAAATTATGAATGATATTCCTGGGCTAAATCCTAATCCATTTCACCCTAAATTTAAAGCAACAAAGTCAAACCCCAGTGGAAATTATAAAAGAATTCCCAGCCCAGTAGTAGTCCTGAAGAAAGCCAACTCACTCATTATAAAAATGATCATTTATACAAAAGTCTGGAATACTTACCTGCTTAGATGTGAGCTTTATAAGAGAACCCTCGTAGCCCTGAAAATGAAGAAACATATTCAGACCAGGAAAAAAAAAGCAATTGTAATATAGCAGCTTGTTCTAGTGAAAATCAGTGAGTCCTTTATGACTAACCAATTTTTCCTACAAATGCCTTCTAATTAAACTGGAAAAGCAAACCCCCCACTCCCTAAACACACACAAATGCCTATGCTTGTATACTTAAGGGCTTAAACAAAATCAGGCCCTAAAATTCATACATTAATTTTTAAATTTTTTTTCATTAAATATGTAATGGTAGGAAAAAATGGGTATCTGTCAATAACAGATCTTTTTCATTTTAGAAAATGAGGAGAAAGAAAGTAAATTCATTCAGTAAGTGAGGAAGGTCAGACTACTTGATTCATTTGCTATAAAATAACAAAGCAACATTAAAAATGTACTTGTTAGGCCTTAGTCAGAATTGCAAAACTTCTAGAAAAATTTAAAGCAGGCAGCAGTGCCAAATTGTTTTGAGTTCCTTTGCTTATTAATAAGAAGCAGCCAATTTTCACATTGGTATTCCGATTGGGACATGCAAATATTCCCTGTTGGGTTTCCACTCTAGGACATAGAAACACTCCCCAACATTCCCTCACCCTTCCTGGCTCCTCAGGATAAGGGTAACAAAGTGTGTTTATTTCTGAAAATAATCAATGGCTGGTGGCTTGCTGATGGATGCCACAAGAGGGGAAAAACACCACTTGACATGATTGACCACCGTACATATCAGTGCAGAGACAGATTTGCAGACTAGGGTCAGCCTCCAGGGACTTTAATTAAAACAAAGTTGTTAGGAATGTACCAGGGTCCTGACTCTAGCGTTGGGGTTTCTGAGCAGGATGTTGGGATTGATTCATCCTCCTATCTTCCCAGCAGAGAGCTATGTTACCAATTAGCTACTGTAAACATTTTACCTCAGAGGCCTTGAGTTCTTCTGGCCAGAGAGGTCATGATTCACAGCCCTGCCTCTTCCTTTTCAAGGTGCTCTCTCTCAAAGACCTCGAGGTTTAAACACTCTGAAGGGCCTCAGAGGCAAAGGACAAATGGATATTTCACTCAAGTGTTAACACCACGGGTGGGACTATATTGTGCTCAAGATCCAAATAGAAATAATATCACGTAACAGATCAGAAAAGGGATGGTAGAATCAGACTGCAAATTTGAATCCTGTCATTTATTGTGTGTGCAAATTTGGGCAAAACTTATTTAACTGCTCCAAGCTTCATTTTACTCATTTGAAAAATGAGTGCAACCTGGCAAAATAAATGAGGGAATTCATATTATGGGACTTGCTGGCTGAATCTTTCTCTATATATATGTACTAAAAATTTAACAATGCTTTGTTCATTTAGAAGAACAGTTAGCTTAAAAAGTCCTCACCCACAAAAGGGATGGGCAGTAAAAACTACAACCCTCAAGAAGAAACTTAGGAAATTCTGTGAAATTGGTGCCCTCTCACACCACCTTTGCTTTCTTTTTCACTTCCTCTCAGCTGATCTCAGGTCTAACCTTTCTGCTTCCTGCTGTACAGTCATCATTACTGTTGCATTAAGGGGGTGGCTGTCAGAATGGGGTTACATCCATTATGACATGGTGACTTCTTGGCACACAAGTGGACTCGATTTTATCTTGCTGTTATAACTGGCTGTCCCCCAACCCCCAACCTTCCTGCTTCTTTTCCTATCCAGCTGTTTGCAGCTGTCACATCATAGTCCCTCTCCCTAAACAGCTAGATCCTGTCGCTAAAATAAATGGTCCTGTCTCTGTGACCGGGAGTCCACTGCAAAAGTCATGGATCTTCCATCAGAGTTAAGATGGTCCATCATCTAGTCCCAGTGTGGCCCCAGCCAGGCAGTGCTGCAGACAAGTCCTTGCCAGTGAGCTTACACATAGGTCCTCAACTTATTGTGACTTCCAGGTTTGCTCCTTGAGGGCGAAGGCCTCCAGTCCACATTTCTGCCCAGTCCCAGTTTTTTCCTGTGCTCCACAGGCTAACCTTCAATGTTTCTCCTTAGTAGCATACCTATTTTAGCTTCAGTTTCAATTCCTGTAAGGTTTTCAACCCCAGCAATGTTAAGCATCTCTACAGTGATTTTACCTTGACAGTTTCAATTCACAGGGAACTGCATTAAATATTTCTCTAAGCACCAGAAAAGATTCTACTTCAATTCATACCAAACCTTTAAAATTTTACTATCTTTGAAACTTATTTTTTTCCCACAGAAAAAATAATGGAGGTTGGGTTCTTAAGTCTAGCTCATAAAAGTCTATTATTTAACTTATTATGTCTCCAGAGTAATATATAAAAGGGATTATTTCGATTTCTAAGAAACTTCCTATGGATATAAATACATATATATTATAGAAATATATAATCTATATATTGTATAAATATGAATATACATATAATTTATGTTATAAATACAATTTGTATAAATATACATTTATTGTATAGTAAATAAATGGATAGCACTGCGACAGTACTCCTAGCACCCCCCTGGTGGAGGATAAATGGGCAGGACACCAAGGTTGTTCCATTTGCAATAGATGCCAGTTTCATGTTCACATCAATTTAGAGAACCTATTGTTGAGGACAAAAAGCATTTTGTCTTTCCTAAGTGAAACATTAAAACTGAGCTGTTTAACCTACTTTATTCAGACCTTTTAAAAAGACCACTTTATAGGGCCTCCCCGGTGGCGCAGCGGTTGAGCGCTGGGTTGCGAAGCTGCCCGCAGCCTCAGCGGCACCGGTTCAATCCCCGGCTGCTCCCCGGCCACCGGAGGAGGGTCCCACATGGTGCGCAGACCTCTCCTGCCACCCGCTGCTCCCCTCAGCAGTGTACTTCAGTCCTTCTGCCTGCTCTGCTCCCCGCTCTGGCTCTGGTGAATTCTCTCACCCTCCCGCGCTTCTGACTGTACCCAGTGCATGTATAAACAAAGCAAACAAAACAAACAAATAAATAAATAACATGCCTCTATTAAAAAAAAAAAAAAAAAAGACCACTTTATAAAAGGTGCTTTCTCAAACATTTTGTTTCTTCCTACCCAAAATTGCCCATGAAGCTTAAATATAGTTTCCTTTACAATTTTTGAAAGATTTTTAAAAAGTACCTTAAATGGTCTGAAAAGCAAATAGAGCTCCCGAGGTTTGATGTCGAGGGGGAGACCACTGACAAATAGGGTCCGGACCTGGAAAATGAATGAGAAGTGATCAAGAGAGTGGACAATCCAGAGAACAGCACTCACATGAAATCTCAAAAACACAGTTCTTCATATATTCCATGACTCCTATTTAACTCATGTCCTTTCCCATAACACAAATGAAAATGTTAAGATACCATTATGCCAACTCTATAATGTTTCTTTGTGGCTTACTCAAAATTAATTACATCTATAGATGATTTCAATGTATAGATGAATTTATCCTTTCCCAACTAGTCGGTGCCTCAACAGTCACATGGAGCAGGTCCAGATAACAAATATTAGCTGAAGGAAAAAATGTCCTGAGGACGGGAAATCTACCATCCCACTAACCAATGAGCATAGAATGCAGTTAAAAATTAAGATAAAAAAATTTGCTTTGTCCTACTTCATTCTTCAGTGGCATCAATAAATACCTAATTTTGATAAAGGTAAAAATTTATTAAACAACTCAGGTGTATCTAAATAGTAGTCAAAATATACAACTCTGCACATCTGTTCAGATGCGGATCTCCATGGAAGATGCTCCTCTTGTATTCTTTCACAACATGACCAATACCTAAGATGCCCTGCTAGGTGCCACTGGCAGAATTCATTCAAGGCACATATGTGAACATTGTTAAAGTATGGGGCACAATCTATGTATATACTGTCTACTAACATAGAGCACAGGACAAACTTTCGGCAGGGGTGGGGGCCATGCCAGAGAAAGCACATTACCATCAGAGTGAGGACTGAAAAGGATGTGACCCACATGGCGCAGCAGACCTCTCCTGTGGCATGCGCTGCACCTCTCAACTGTGTATTTCAGTACATCTGCCTGTTCTGCTCCCCACTCTGTCTCTGGTGAATCCTCTCACCCACACACATCTGACCTACACCCCTGTTCTTGTATGCATAAATAAATAAATCTTTTTTTTTAAAGATTTATTTATTTATACAAGCACTGGGTACAGTCAGAAGCGCGGGAGGGTGAGAGGATTCACCAGAGACAGAGCAGGGAACAGAACAGGCAGACTGACAGAATACACTGCTGAGGGGAGCAGCAGGCGCGGCAGGAGAGGTCTGTCACACCATGTGGGACCCTTGCCGGTGGCCGGGTACTGGACCAGTGCTGCAGAGGTTGCGGGCAGCTTTGCAGCCCAGTGCTCAACCACTGCGCCACCAGGGGAGGCCCAACAGATACGTTTTTGGTTTTTTTTTTTAAGTGTTGGGTAAAATTTATCAGCAGAGAAAGCAATAGGCAATGAAAGGGGGTATGTTCTAGGTGAAGGGTGAATCAAGCTTAACCTGGGAACTGAGGATAAAAACCACAGGGGAACATCAAAAGTCACCAGCTCAGAAATTCAGTGTCAATTCCACAGACAAAGAATAAGCATGGTTATCACATTTTATTTTTCCTTTTGTTTCTACCTATTTATTACAATATGTTTTGTGTGCCTCTACGAAGTGCCCCCCCCCCAACTTGACTAAGCTGTAACATACAACATTGTGTGAGGTTAAGGTATATAGCTATGTTGATCTGATACAACATATTGCAAAATGGAATAAAAATAACAAAAAGGAAAAAACCCTCAGTGCTAGCTAACACTTCCATCACCTGCACACAATAACTATTTCTTTTTTGTGGTGGGAAGATTTATGATCTATTTACTCGTAACAATACATTATATACTTGAAAGTGACCAATTATATTAAGGGCAATGCTGTGCATTTGATCCCCAGAACTTAGGCATCTTATAACTGGAAGTTTGGACTCTCTGACCAACACTGTCCCACCCACCCCTCAGTAATTACCACCTTTCTATTCTTTGTACAAGCTCACTCCACATTTTGTATTTCTCTCATTAGAAACCGTGCTGCCACAGGTAAAGAAAAATTCAACGTTCATTTCTTAACCTCATGTAAGTATGGGAGATTTTTCTTCGATGTGAAATGAAGAGAACATTTTTTAGAATCCTAACACTTTCCATTGCTTCTGGTTTTGAAGCACACAAAAATCAGCAAGCAAGATTCTTTTACTGATCCAGAACAGTACACAGTAAAACATCATACCATTTACATGTGAGTGCTTAATAAAGCACTAAGATGATGTTAAGAGCCCCAGAATAGTGACTACTTATTTTGCTTGTTTTTTCATTCAACTTTTATAGTTTTACTGAGGTATAATGTATGATAAAATGTACATTTTGAAAGTGTACAAATGGTTAACTTTTAACATACGTGTATAACCTGTGAAACCATTTCAATCATAAGTTTTCTCACACCCTCTTAATATTCCTCCCACACTGTTCTATCTTCCTTATCCCCAAGGGATCCCTGATATGCCTTCTATACATTAGCATGTGTGTTCTAAAGGTTTATACAAAGGGAACCAAAGTCTATACAAAGGGAGCCTTTTTGCCTAGCTTGTTTCACTCTAACATAATTATTTTGAAATTTATCCACATTGCTGCATGGATTAATAGTCTAGTCCTTTTATATTGCTGACTAGTATTTTGTTGCATGGATACAACAGTTTATTTATCCATTCATTTGCTTTGGCTTTTACACATAAAACAGCCATCTCTGTATGGACTTGTTTTCTTTCTTCTTAGATAAACACCCATGAGCACAATAGCTGGATAATATGGTAGAGGTATATGCTTGACTGTTTAAAAAAGGGGGGAAAAAAATAAAACCCTGCCATTCAATTCCTCCTTTTTTGAATATTGTGAGTGTACATAAAAACAAATTTGTATTCTGTTGCTGATGGGAGGAGAGTATTATAAAAATCAATTAGGTCATTTCTGTTGTTCAATATATCTTTGCCTCCCCTTCTTACCACTTCCCACCCCGCCATCTTTACCAGAGATAAAGGCTCTTCCTGAGAAATGAATTTTCTCAATCAAAGTTGCTAAGGCTGAATTACTGACAATAGCCAAAGACACAAACTACAAAAGAATCCTGCCATTCGGTGTGCTCTCCTCATCATCCACCAACTCTCCTCCCACAGTCCAGAGAGGGAATGCCAGCTGCCATTCATTCAGATTTTGAGTATCTATTTTATGTCTGACACTGTGTAGGTGTTGAATGGATCAAAGATTTCCAAAGAAATAATATGACATGCAGGCCCCTGTGATTTAAACATTGAAGTACCATTTGCCTAGCAGTGAAGTTCAGCTATGTGAGTGGTATCAATCAGATTTGGGCAGCTAACTTAGAAAATAAACTACCACTTATATTATTGCTTTAAAGAACAAGGCTTTACAAACATGTACGTCAATTTTTGAATAACTGCATAATCCACAAGAAAACTGATGGTTAGCAACAAAAGATTACTGATAGAAACTAATGTTTCTCATGTGTATTCTAAAAGCTTATGCAAATGGAACAAATTATAAATGTAAACTTTGGTGTAAGTCCTACAAGGCATTTCCCCCTCTGTATAATGAGAGATCAGTGATCCCTTGGTGATAAGGAAGCTAGGACAGGGTGGGAAGAAAATTAAAAGGGTGTAAGGGAACTTTTGATTGAAATGGTTTCACAGGTTACACATATGTTAAAAATTTACCAGTTGTACACTTTTAAGATGTACATTTTATTATACATTATACCTCAGCAAACTGTATAAAAGATGAATGAGGGCCTCCCCGGTGGCGCAGCGGTTGAGTGCTGGGCTGCAAAGCTGCCTGCAGCCACTGCAGTGCCTGTTCAATCCCCAGCTGCCAGGCGAGGGTCCCACATGGCATGCAGACCTCTCCTGCTGCCCGCTGCTCCCCTCAGCAGTGTATTTCGTTGGTCTGCCTGTTCTGTTCCCCGCTCTGGCTCTGGTGAATTCTCTTACTCTCTCGCGCTTCTGACTGTACCCAGTGCTTGTATAAATAAATAATCTTTAAAAAATAAAAAAAATAAAAAAAATGAATGAAAAAGCAAATAATATCTTTATCTACACCCATAATATGTACTATTATGCAACTAATAAAAATTATGTTCAAGGAGAAAGTACATATACTCTAACTTCATTCTAGACACACATATTGGAAGAGGAGAAAATGCCTTGTAGGACATACAAGATGTGGTGGAATAATCCATGATTCAATATTATTAGGTTATATTTCCCACCTTTTTATAAAAGTACATTAGATAAGCTTATTTTTTTTAATTTGAGAACTATCTCCATTTGTCGTTACTTTACTTTCTTTAGGAAACAAGAAATAAGTCAATATTTATGTCAATAAAAGCAATAAAGCTTATGGAGGAAACTCTTTTCTATGTAAATATTTCAGAACTAGTAGTAAGAGATTCTTAGTATCTCAACAGGAAGCTGTTATATAAGGGGGCAGAATGGAATTCTCTGAGGCCTAAGTTTCCCACTAACTCATAAATGACTTATATTTCCTTGAATCTAGAGAAATCCAGGATATCTCATCACTGAAGAGAGATTCTCTCCTCTGCCAAGACAGGTATGAGGCTGACTATGAAAAAATAATTCTTAAGTACTTTATGAGTTTATGAATAAACCTGAAAGTTACTTAAATCCAAGTTATGTCCACATGCTTGGAATCCTTTCTAGACCTCCTCAGATTAAGAGTTTTAAGACAAAAAGTCATGGCTATAAATAGGGGGGGGAAATCAAAAACAAAACCCAACTTTTACTGATTTGCTTACTTCATGCTTTTTTGGTGACTGAGACCTAGAATCACAGGGATGTCAAATATCTCAAATTCTTCTCAAGATCATACTTTGTACCAAAGCTCTTAAATACCAAAGCACTCTGGGGTTTTGTCTTTGCTCTATCTATGGAAATCACTAAGACAGGACATGATTCTTGCTTGCAGGGAGCTTTGTGTCAGTGAAAGAAACTGAATATACAAGTGAAAGTTTGAAATGAAAGTTTGGTCTTTCACAAAGAAATTGATTATCACCCAAAGAGAGAGACAAATGTTTAAAAGACAGATAAATTCATGATCAAATGCTCAGGAAAAAACAGCCCTCCCAAAGTAACA